ACCACCACTATGTATCATCATCACCACCACCACCACCACTGCTACCACCATCACCATTATCACCACCACCATCACCACCACCATCATCACCATCATCACCACCACCATCATCATCACCGCAATCATCACCACCATCACCTCCATGGCCACCACCATCACCACCATCATCATTACCATTATTACCACCACTATCATCTTCACCACCACCATCATCATCACCGCAATCATCACCACCATCACCTCCATGGCCACCATCATCACCATCACCATCACCATCACCACCGTCCCCAGCACCACCATCAACTGCTACCACCACCACCATCAGCACTGTTATTAATGCAACCATCATGGAAGGATTACCCACTGGAAAACTGTGTACTGTTCTACCAGTCTCTGTGGAAACGCTCCTCTCCCATTTGCCCCATTGGTCTCTGCTTGTCGTGATGTCAGGTGGGTTTTGTTACTGGCTGGCTGCCGTGCCAAGGGCAGGTGATGGGCCGCCTGGGGAAGCTGGTTTTCTGCTTAAGCTGCTCTTCACGTCCGGCTGTGGCAGAAAATCTACTCCAAAGTGAGGGGCAATCACTCAGCATGGCTGCGCCCCTCCCCTCTGCCAGACTGGGCCTCACTGGTTGAGAACAAAGCGGGATCTTAATAATCCCCAGGCCATCTGCTCACCCTGGCCTGTGAGGCCCAGCCAGCCAGTATGCCGTTCCTCCTGAAGTGACCCAAACCCCAGGGGATGCTCTCTGCTGAGCTTCTCCCCACATCCCCTCCCCAGTCCCTGGGCCCACCAAGGCCTCAATTAGTGGGGAGGGGTGCTAGAAACCAGCAGGTCAGGCTGGGGAGACCAGGAGATCCCAGGCCCCTTTGTCTAAGGCATCGAAGAGGAGCTTGAGAAAAACCGGCTCAGATGGCCATCTGTGGAGAGGGGCTCGGGCACAGCACTCAGGACCTGCTTCTCTGGACACAGTCTGAACCCACCACGGGGCTAGGGCACCCCTTTTAAGCCAGGTGTCCCAGAGGTGCTCCACAGACACTCATGACTTGGGCAGGGGTGTCCAGCAGGTTTCTGGGTGGCTGAGTGGTGAGTTTGGGTAACAGTGGGTTAATGAATACTATTCTCAGCACAGGATGCCTGCCCACAGCCTTTTAAATGCTAATAGCTTATGAATGGGCACCAGGAGGGGCAGAGAGAGGAGGAAGTGCTTCCCCCAACCCTGTGAGCACAGGACCATTCCACAGCAAACCCCACTCTGCCCGGCCAGGGGCTCTGGACAAAGGAATGATCCTCTGGGCACATGTTGGGAGAGGAGGTTTTATACTTCCCACCCCCCACCCCCTCATGAGTTCTTTCTAAGGGAACTACAGGGCTCCTCAGCTCCCTGTAGTCACCCAGGCCCAAACAGCTGAGCTGGGCAGCGAGCAGTGAATGTGGTCAGATCCCCAGGAGCGCCCCTTGGCGGCTGTGGAGGAGACAGTCCACCAGCGGCTCCTGATGAGGCTCTCCCCCACCCATTCCCTCTCAGCACACCACCCCAGGCTCCGGCCCACCTCTGTTCTGGCCAGACCTTGTTTAGAACCATGGCCTCGACTCCCTCCCTGGGCGCTGATCCCAGACCGACCGTGTGCCAGGAAAGGCAGCCAGCACGGTTTCTAACCCCAGTGCTGGAACTGCTGAGTGACCTGTGGCAAGTTATTGAGCTGCCCTGGGCCTTGGTTTCCCCAACCGCGTGTGCCTTAGAGCCACAGGCAAACACGCTGCTACCTGTCATGACGTTAGCAGCACGGTGGCTGCCATTCTTCTGCAGACGCCTCTGGCTTCTGCTGTGTCCACTAGTGCCTGGGGGGGGGGTGGGGGGGGGACACCCAGGTGTGGGGAAAAGGGTGCCCTCTCTGGAACCAGGTAGACTTGAGGTTCCTTCTCAGCTTCGCCTCTGAACAGTTGTGGGCTGCTGCAAGCCCCTGCCCCTGACGGAGCCCCAACAAGATGACATCGCTGCACTGCATAGCCCTGCTCTCTGAGGGTCTCCTCTCCGCTGGTCACCACCAGGTACCGCCTCTCCCCACATATAGGCTGGGTAGCCCAGGGCACACCCCCTGGCTTCGCTTTTCCTCCTCTGAGGAAGAAGTGCAGGGGCTCAGCAAGTCCAAGGGTCCCCCAAGCTCAGTCTGAAGGGGTGGCACTGCCGGACTAGAAGCGTGGGGGGAGAAGGCACATTGTCTGGACAGAGTGAGGAAGTCCCGGAAGCCCGGATGCTGATTCCCCTTCAGGGCCCCGTGGGACCGGGGGCCAGCTGCCTCCCGACAACCTGGGGCTCCAAGTTCCCCTCTGAGGTGGTTACTGGGGGCCCTGCATGGAGCTGCTCTTGCAAGGCTCTGGGACTGGGGTCAGCAGAGTCCAGAGTAACCGGCCACACCCTTTCCTCTCGAAGAACCTCAGGCTAAGGGCCTCAGCTCCAAAAAAGGGGTGACCCATTCCCACCCTCCTTGCTCTCTCTAACACAGACACTCACACACACAGAGGGTTCCCTCTACACAGGGAGGGTCTGAGTCCCCACTGGGTTGGGTCAGAGCTTCAGCCACCCGATGGGCTCTCAACAGGAACCGCCATGACATACCCTAGCTCATGGGGAGAACTTCAGGTAGACCCGGTAGAGGGTTGCATGTGCCAACTGGTTTAGGGAAAATGGGAGGGAGGAGCTGCTGGGGCCCTCTGCCCTGGAGCCCCCGTGTCTGCATCAGGGAACGTGTAATGAAGGTTTGGGCCCTGCCCTTTCTCCTTGGCCCTGTGGGAGCTCGCCCTGCCCTCTCCGACTGGGTCAGGCTCCACAAGGAGCTTAGACATCTGGCCCAGCCCGTCAGCTTCTGCAGGCAGGGGGCCTTTCCAGACGTGCCCGGTGCAGCCGGGAAGGGAAGAGACCAGGTGTGAGGACGTGTGGGGGCACCTGCTCTAACAACAGGGCCCCTTCTGCTTTCCCAACATGGCTGCCACTATTCATGGGTCATGGACAGTCACTCCAGATGGGTCCCAGGCAGAGCCAGCAGCTCTGGGAGGGACTGTGGAGCCTGTGGGGGTGCAAGGCTGTCCTTGCCCCCCCCACGTCTCTACCACAGCTCCCCACCCCCTCCATGCCTGCCTGGTGGGGCAAGAATGGGGCACAGGCAGCCGGAAGCCACAAGGAGCTGCAACAGCCCCCACTTCCTGCCTCAGCCCAGAAGGCAGAAGGACCCAGTGCAGACCTCAGGGCCTCCTCCCACGATGGGGTGGGGGAAGGGGCTGGGCCTCTCCCTCTCTGGGCAGCCAGGCTGGTGAGAGGAGACTCTGTGGGGCAGATGGCGGGGAGACCACAGCAGGGGCTGCACAGAAACTCTGCTGTGTCCTTGAGGCTCCGAGAGCCGAGGAGGCTCCTTCAGGTCGCCCAGTCGTGGGAGCCAGGAGCTAGCCCCAGGTGGTCTTACGCCCGGGCCGATCTCAAGATGGTGAGGGTTTTGAGTGGGCACCCGGGACCCCGGGTTGCAGGCCCCAAGGACGTCATAGCACATCAACGGCAAAGGGGAACCCAGAAAGGGCAAGGTCAGTGCCCAAGGTCAGAGGGACCTGAGCAAGACAGGGCTGGGCTCCCTCCCAAGAGGCAAAAGGAAGCCCTCCCCACCCCTAAGACTATAGGAAAGTGGCATCCCCTAGGGGCCCCAGCTCACACCGAGCCCCCACCGTTGGTACCTTGGCGCCGAGGCGCAGCTGGTCGATGGTGTTCTCTGCCTCGGCGTACTTGGTGAGAAGCTTGTGGTAGTCCTCCTGCAGGGAATGGAGAGGGGCCCGGTCACAGCCAGACATACAACGCCCCCCTAGCTCCTCCATGGGGGACCCCTTGGACCAAACACCGGGTGCTGCCCATGAGACTTCTGGGCTCCTCAAAGGGAGGCCATTTGACTGTGGGCACTCACATGGCCCAACTCTGCAGGGTCAGAGGTGCCAGCCGGAGTCACGCTGAGTGTGGGCCAGGGGCCTGGGGGCCGCGGTACCTTGATGCCCAACCCCCATCCCACACACTGGAATGGCTTCTTCATCTGAACTGGATGCCCATCTGTGGGGTCGGACTGGCCCCCCAAGACAGGTGCTCTGCTCCCAGTGTCCCTAGTATTTTCAAGGGCCGAGGGGCTGACACGTCCAATCAGTCACTCGAAGGATGGTGAACAGTCCAACAGAGGAAAAGCAACAGATGTGCAAATCACTGCTCTGTCTGCTCCCATCTCTACGTCCCTGACACCAGCCCAGAGCGCTTCCTCCCGACTTGCCACCACAGGGGAGCAAAGCAAAAACAGACGCAGATCTCCCGGGGGCCGTCTTTGAAGGGAAAATGTTTTTAAATCAAGAAGACAGAAGCTAGCCTCTCCTCTGTCTTTCCCACAGAAGCAGCCATCCCTTGGTGACCAAGTCACTGACAGGACAAGGTGGAATGACCCTGGAGAAGCCCAGCCCTGCCCCACAAAAGGAATGTTGGGGGGAAGACTAGCATCGGAACCCAATAGAACACGCTGTGGGGCCACCCCAGGGGAACTGCTGCACCCAGACAATGGCCACCACGGCCAGCAGGCCCCATGGCCTCCCCAAAATTTCTCTCACCCAAAGCGCCTCCCTGCACATTGCTCCGGGTCTAGAGGAGAAAGAGACCTGCTCGGGTGGTGACAAGTAAAACAAAGGACACCTGACAACACAGGTGTCCTCACTGCCTGTGGACGAAAGCCTTGTGCGACCTTCAAGTCTCTCTCTGGGCACAGTCCTTGCTCCACCATCGGGGGCTCCTGTCCCGATCCAAGGCCATCCCATCCCAGCCAGTCTCCAACCCTGGTCAATCGAGCACTTGGGGACTTGGGGCCCCTATCCATTTGTCCAGCTTACCTGAAGCTGGTGGACCAGCTTGGTGGCCTGCTCTGGTGTCTGGAACTCTTGGGGTACCCTGGCGATGGAGGGGGCAGGGGGCACGTCCCGTGCTGAGCCGGCTTCCCCGCTGCTGAGCAGCACCTCCCGCACAATCTCTGCCGGTGACTTGAAGATCAGGGGTCTGGCAGGGCCCTGTGGCTGCCAGCTATGGCTCTTGGCCTTGGGGGGTTGGTAGCTCTCATCTTTGGGGAACCTCACCCGGGGTCCCACTTTGGAGAAATCAGGCAGTGGGTAGTTCAGCCGTCCCCGGCCATACTTGGAGGCATCAGAAGAGCGGCCAGCCAGAGCGGCCACCTGCCTGGGCAGCCTGTCCCTGGGGGTTGGCTTAGGCCGAGGATTTAGAGGGCTGAAGGAGCCAGCGAATCGGGAAGGCAGTGACCTTGGGGGTATCTTGGATTGCTTCCAGGGTGGGTCCCTGGGCCGAGGGTGGGAGAGGCTGGGGTTTTTTCTCCATCCATCTCCGGGGCACTGGAGGCTCGGAGGTGGGGGTGGTGAGAAGTCATGGAATTCTATGGGGGTTGCCTGAGCAACACTCCCTCTGGTTCTGTCAACTGGATCGAGGTGGCAGCTGAGGGGCTGTGGGAAAGTTTCTGTCGGGGGAATGGGTTGAGGGATATGGGTCTCTCCTTCCCAGGCAGAATCCAGGCTGTCGCTGGGATGACCGAGGCTCACGGTCCCACTGCTCCAGGATCTTGTAGAGTAAAGGTCAATGGATGGGCTGACCTCAGAGTGTTCGGCAGGCTTGTCTCCACAAGCCTCCTTGTCAGAGGCCACCCAGCCCCTGGCCTGGCCCTTCCCCAGAGTCAGAGATGTGGGGCTCCCATTGCCCTCTGAGTGGAGACCGTCCTCATCCCCCTGCCTGGGTGGCCGCTCTCCAGTTTCCTCAACTTCCTGAGGATCATCCGGCTCCTCTTCAGTCATGTTCTGCGGAGAGTCCTGCTGGGGAAACCAGTACAGCGGCAAGTTGGAACTTTCTGGGCTGTCCACATCCTCGGCTTCGATCCCTAGAAAGACAGGTTGACATTGACTGAGCAACCTTGCTGTGCAACCTCCACCTTTCTGAGCTTCCATGTGTGCCTCCTGTGGTGAGGACACGAATCTCCATGGCCAAGTGCTTGTCTGGCCGAGGGAGATCCTGTAAGCTCCAAACCCCGGCTCAGGATCGCCCCGACCTCAAACCTGGACCCAGCATTCGCCATCTCAGCAAGGCCAACACAATCCCCGCCAGCTGCACTTGAAAACCAGAAACCTAGGAGCCACCTGGACACTATTCTTCCCCGGCCCTGCAGTCCAATCTGTCACTTGGCCCTTTCCATTCTACTCTGTACCCACCGCTCAGACCCACTGCTACCCCCTCCATCGTCACCATCACCAGCCCTTTCTAAGCCAACATTCTCTCTCGCTGGGACGACTCCTGATGCTTCCAGCCATTTCCCCAATGGTCCTCCTCACCTACCAGCTTCAAACCCACTCATAGCTCACCATTGTTCCCAGCAGGAGGGCTCATCCTCTAATGCAGTGGTTTTCAACCTTCCTGTTGCCGTGACCCTTTAACACAGTGCCTCATGTTGTGGAGACCCTGAACCATAAAATGATTTTCATTGCTGCTTCATAACTGTCATTTTGCTACTGCTATGAATCGGGTGATCCCTGTGAAGGGGTCGTTCGACCCCCAAAGGGGTCGTGACCCACAGGTTGAGAACCACTGCTCTAATGTGTTCTTAGGTCCCTGCCACTCAAGCCCCATGAGCTCTCTGGTTCGTTTCTCATCACCCCCTCACCCCACCCCCAGCCTCTCCTTGGTTCAGCCACACCTAGCGCACACCAGGTTCCCCCTCCCTATGGGCTTTGCTGCGTGCAGGTGATCCCTCTTGCCTCCCTCAGGTAGTTCACTCCTATTTGCCCTTCAGTCATTAGCTTGATCTTTACCTCTGGAAGGAAGTCTTTTTAGCTCCTCCAAAGTAGGTCAAATCCTCCTCCCTTTGGTAAGTCTCAACACTGGATACCTCTGCCTCACAACACTAGCACCACTACAGTTTTCTGTTTGCTTGTATGATTGTTTCATTAATATTTGTCTCCCTCTATGAAAACAATAATAATTTATAATTTATCAAGGGGTCATTAAGGTGGGGCGGGGGTTAGGGGAAAAAGAGGAGCTGATACCAAGGGCTCAAATAGAAAATAAATGTTTGTGAAATGATGATGCCAACATATGTACAAATATGCTTGACACAATTAATGTACAGAATGTTATAAGAGCTATAAGAGCCCCCAATAACATGATTTTATATATATATATATTTGTCTCCCTCGTTATACCACAGTCTCAATGAGGGCAAGTATCTGTTTTAGTTATTGGCACGGTGGGTGCTCCAGAATATTTGCAACTGACTGAGTGGAAAGTTGGGAAGAAAAAGAGGGAGATGAAGGAAGCAAATCCAAACCTACTGCCATCAAGCCGATTCAGACTCACAGGGAGCCTGAGGAGGTCAATACTTACGGAAGCAGATAACCTCGTCTTTCTTTGGAGGGGCGGCTGCTGGGCTTGAACACTGACACTTTTAGTTACTGTCCAATGTGTACCCAACAGCACCACCAACGCTCCTATGCAGAGCTCCCAGGAAAGAGAGAGATGCTGTAATCATTGCACAGTCAGGGTTCAAGAAATAGCCATCCATCCACCCACTCAACCTGCCAGTCAACCGTCTACCTTTTCCGCCTTCCATCAATTCATCCACTCACTCACATCACCTGTCTATCCATCTCTCTATCAGTGCACCCAGCCCCTGGCCCATCCATCCTCCTGTCCATCCACCCACTCCCCCTTACTCCTACAGCACCTGTCCAGGCAGTCACTGTGAATTAACCCACCTAATCCGTTCTAGACACGGAGTCAGCCTCTGGGACATATTCAGTCTCTGCTCTGGCCAGATGCAGCTCCGTACTAACCTGGACCAGTCTCTGCTCCCCAGGGCTCTTCCCCTTAACCCCAGAACCCCCCACCCCGACCCAGCAAGTCCAGCTTGTTACAGCAGCACACCTGAAGCCTGGACCAGTGAAGATCACACAGGGTGGTCAGCACCGTCCTGACCCTACCAGGGCCCTAGCCCCGCAGGGCAGTCTGTCTCAGCTGCTGGCGGCAGCGGTGAAGTGGAAGGGAAGGGTGTGGGCTTTGAAGCCAGGGAGCCCTGGGTCCAACACTGCTCCCTCTGGTCCCTTACTGGGCAAGCTATGCCTCTGTGAGCCACAGGGTCCTCACTCAGATGTGACACTAGCCCCTCCTACCTGGCAGAGATGGTGAAGAGGAGTGGGGGAGGGAAGGCCAGGGTCCTGCCTGGCCGGGTGCCTGGCACGCAGTAAGGCAAGGGCTGTGGTCTCAGCTATTACATCATAGCAGAGGGTTACCACGTGACCTCTGGGAGAGATGCCTCTGCTGGCTTGAAACACTTCCGGAGTGGGCAGCTGAGGCAGCTCACACAGGCCGGGCAGTGGTTCCTCTACCATCCACGTGGGGTCTGTCTGATGCCAAGCAAGGCTCATGCAGGACAGGCGCCTCATTCATGGGTACGCACAATAGCCACCGCTCGCCTGGCTCTTCCTAAACGACACTCCTCACACACTTGATCCACGTAGCCCGGCATGACCTTGGAGGTCAGAATCATCGCTCCCGTCTCGCAGATGGGAGCCCCGAGCTTCAGAGAGAAGACCAAGAGCATTGTCGAGCAAACCTAGGATGTTTGTCCTGGCTGTTGTCAACACAAAAGGAACTTGGCTATTGCAAAGGGCAAGGGGCACCTACTCTGCCATTGGGAACTGGAATGTCAAACATCGGGAAAAGGGGCACACTCTGTGATCATGGGATATTGAGGGGATCAGGTCTCAGGCATCAGAAGACCCAAACAACCATTCTGATGCGAACAAGGGGGCTCACAAGTGGAGACTCAAAGTCCATCTGTAGACAATTAGACACCCCCTCACAGAAGGGTCACAAGGAAGGGACGAACCAGCCAGGGTGTGGTATAGCACCGATGAAACACACAACATTCCTCTAGTTCTTTAAGGCTTCCTTCCCCACCACTATTATGACCCCAGTTCAATCTTACAAATCCGGCTAGACCAAAGCATGTACATTGCTACAGATAAGAGCTCTCAACACACAGAATCCAGGATAGGTAAACCCCTCAAGAACAGTAATGGGAGTAGCGATACCATGAACGTAGGGGGAAGGTGGGGGGAGAAGGGAAAAAAAGGGTGAACCAATCACAACGATCCATGTACAACCCCCCCCCCCCCTCATCCCTGCAGAGCGGCGAACAACAGAAATGTGGTTGAAGGGAGACAGCAGACAATGTAAAATATGAAAATAAGAATAATTTCTAAGTTATCAAGGTTTAACCATGGTGGGAGGGCTGGGGAGGGAGGGAAGAAAGAGAAGCTGATATCAAGGGCTCAAGTAGAAAGAAAATGTTTTAGAAATGATATGTACAAATGTGTTTGATACAACTGATGTATGGATGGTTATAAGAGCTATAGGAGCCCCCAATAAAATGACTGATGAAACTATAAAAAAAAGAAGAAAAGAGGGCACGTCTTGTACTTAGCCCTTCAAAGTACCAAAGAAATGACCAAGTGCCCAAAATTGTACTGCTAAATACTATCCAAAGTGAGAAAGCGCCCTCACGCAATAAATGATGGCACAGTCAGCCGGTCAACACTGTGCAGGTGTCAGAAAGAGCTTGGGGAAGAACATTCCTGTCCATCGAGCCAACCCAAAGCAGGCTACAACATAAGGCAAAAACCAAACTCACTGCCATTGAGCTGATGCCGACTCATGGGACAGAGAAGAACTGCCCCTGTGGGTTTCCAAGACTGTACCTCTTTCAAACCAGGACCAAACTCACTGCAGGAACAAAAGCCCGGTCTTTCCTCTGTGGAGTGGCTGCTGGTTTAGAACTGCTGACCTTGCAGATCTCAGCCCAACTCGTAACTGCGACACCAGGGCTCCGACAATGTAGTGCAGAGACTCCCACCCCCTCTTCATGGTACCTCTGTGTGGCTGCCCACAGGGCAAGGAGTGTTTGGAGCGGTTAGCAGGGTGGGCTGATACATCATGTTTCATTTTCTCTCTTTTCCTATTTTCTAATGATTTCCACAGTGAACAGTATTTTCACTGACAGCTTTTGCTGACATTTTTATTTACATTAAGTTAGAATTGTTTATGGCTTTAGATTTCCCATTTTAATTTTAAAAACTCAAACAGAGATTCTAATCTAAAACATTTTCAAACACCCACCCACCTATCCCTGACAGTCAGGTATTAGGGTGGGGGGATGAGTTGGGGGCCTTCTGGGGGTGGGGCAAGAGTATCAGTCTCACCTGTTTCTGCAGACTCTTCAGATTCAGAATCCTGACACCCTCCAGCCTGCGGGTCCCACGCCAGGGCCACTGGGTGCTGCTGGGCCAGACGGAAGTCCTCCAGGAGCTCAGGGCTGGTGGCATCAGGGAAGGGCTCATCTCCCCAGCCTCGGGCACCACTCCCAGTGGCATTCTTCTCCTCCTCGGCCCAGGCCCAGCGCCGCCTCTGCCGGGGCCCCTTCCCCAGACCTGGCTCTGCCCAGTGGACCTCAGTCCCTGAGCTGGCCATTGGGCCAGGCCCACACCTCACCTGGGCCACTTCATCCTCAGGGGACCAGAGTCAGAGTTGACTCCTCTCAGGGCCTGCCATCCTGCTGCGACCTGTTGAGACACAATCAGGGGAGAACATTAATCCTCAAGTCCCCTGCTTTATTCCGAACAAAAAGTTAGCACAGGGACCAGATGGCCGTGGCTCACCCTTGAACACGTCACTGTGCCTTATTGTTGTCCATGGCAGTAAACTTGGGCGAATACTTCTTCTCCCCCTCTAGGGGTTTGTCCAGAGCCTTGGGCGCTGGGCAGAGACCCAGTGGTGGACACTGGGCGTGGGAGCCCTGCCCCTTAGAGTTGAGAGGAGGGAGACAAATATCCAGGTAACTACAAATCCAGCTCCTAGGGGATGGGGCAACATTGGGATGTCTCCCAAGAGGCCTGGAAGCCAGCAAAGGGCCCAGTTTAGGCGCCACACCCCCTGGGAGCCTTCCTGCCCTCTCACAGTACAAATTCAGACTGGGAGCTGGAGTGAGGCGGGGGGTGGGGGTGGGTGGGGGTGGGTGGTGGTGGTGGGGGGAGGAGCTATAAAAAGAGCCACGAGCCAGGCTGAGGCCCAGCATGCAGTCTGGTGGCAGGAGGGAGCAGCCCCACCAGGTGCCTTCCTGGATGTGGAGGTGGTCCCCCCTGGCAGCAATACTGAGGGCAGGGGCCGGAGGAGGCGGGGCAGACAGCAGAGTGTGGGGGGAACCACTGGTGCTGGGCGGACCGAAGAGCGCTCTCAGGGAGAATGGATCTGCCTGGGGAGTGGGAGGACAAGGGACCCTTTAGGAGGCTCCTTCCTGCCTCCCTTCCCTTCCTGCTTCTTTCTTCCTCAGCCACGCATCTCCTTTCCCACCCTCCTGCAAGCCCAGATACTCCCCAAGCATGCTGCCGGCCCCAGAAGCACACAGCCGACAGACCAGGAAACCGAGGTCCCTTCCAAAAGGAGACCCCAGTCTGGGAGGGGCCAGAGAGCCTCAGCAAGCCAGCAGGAGGAACCTGGGGGTGAGCTTACCCACAGGCCTGGCTGTGCAGGTGCAGGTCAGCAAGTTGAGGGGCCGTGCCCAGAACTACACTGCACACAGGACTCAATGCCTTGAGTGGATGCTGACTCATAGTAACCCTGAAGGTGGTAAACTGAGCACGTGGTAGGGTGTGTGTTTGGCCTCATTTCTACACTCATAACCACAGGCATAGAAAACTAGCCCCCTTTTGAGAAAGATCTCCAGTGTTCCAAGATAGAAATGTTTTCAAATACACGTTCTCCAGGCTGAATGGTGTGCCTCCCCCTCCCACTCCTCCAACACACACACACCCCTGCTATAGCCCTCCATTCAAGAGCAGTCCTAAAGGAGCTACCATGAGCGACGTCTCATACTTGCATCTGGCTACTCACTGTGCCTAAAGGTTATCTGTAGATAAGAGCCATCGGGTTCAACAGCCAACCCAACTCTGTTTGGACATCTCTTGCTGATACTGATCCCAGATTGCTCCCCTGGAGAGGGCCCAGGGGCATCCGAGGACAACTAACCCTAGGTCAAGAAGAAGACTCACCTCATTGCTGTTTTGTTTTGTTTTTAAATAGTCAAATAAATTTTATTTACTAGATAATTGGAGGAAAAAATATTCTACTAAAGTTCCACCTGAGTTAACAAAAATTATTAATTTTTTTTAAATGAGCTGTTTCGCTTGTATAACTACACCTTATAAAGACTGCAAAAGGTAGCAAAAACAAACTCAGAACTCTATATATATATTGTGAGGGAGTTTCTCAAAGAAAAGCTTTCTTTTTTTCCTTCTTAGTTTTTCTTTTTTTTAAACATTTTATTAGGGGCTCATACAACTGTTATCGCAATCCATACACACATTATTGTGCTACCTGCTTATGATATTCCCCACTGACGATGTAATATGTTGGTTGCATGATATGCATGCCTTAGGAAAGATCTGTAAGCCCCATTACATATACTCATAGAAACATACATTCACTCTCTTGGTCCTGACATGGGACGAGGAGCCCCTGTGCCCTGCTGTCTGTTCGTCTTTAATATTTTCCACAATCATGTTTGACTGTGGGGACCCCCTCAACCCACACTGTAGCACAGGGCAGAACTGCCTCTGTGAACTTCCCAGACTGTAACTCTTTACTGGAGCAGAGAGCCTCGTCTCTCTCCATGGTGGTTTCGAACTGGTGTCCTTGAGAAACACAGCTCAACTCATAACCACTATGCCACTGGGGCTCTGAGGTACACAGGACAGCCAGGGGCAAAAGGACAGCCTCCCGTCCCTCCAGGCACCATAGCAACAATGGAGCAAAACTGCAGGCCTCCCTGGACAGGCGTCCGTGTCTCAGCCTCGTGAGCACTTGGCTCCCAATCCGGAACCTTGATTTATTGAGAAAAGTTAGCAGGCAACTATTTCTGGGCAGAGAGTCCCCAGGGAACCGTCCAGTCAGGGAAGGGCTGGGACAGGAGCTGGGAGCACAACATTCTCCCCCAACCGGCTGCCATGTCTGCTCTCCTGCCCAGTCCCCGTCTCTGACTCCGCGGAATCATCGTCCCCGGCACCCCTCTCTAACCCACAATCCCCCCACATAGGCTGCGTCCGGTCAGGGATGGCTTGGGCTGGAAGCACACTTGTGCTGGATTCACCCTCATTGAAAACTACAGCATGCAATGGTGTGACATCACCCCGCTGGGAACTATCCATTTGGATCCAGTTCTAATTTTTTTAATTTTTAATCAGAGCTGCCCATCATGAAAACCATGTTTGTTCACATGCTCACATGCATGGTCTACCCTAGTTGATGATAGATTTTAGAAAAAAACACAACAACAACAAAAAATTTAAGGTGCGGTGGAAAATAAATAGTAAGTATTATAAACAGTTCTAATCCTTGTGTCCCATATCCTTGCGGGGGTGGGGGTGGTGGGGGTGGTGGGGCAGGGGAGGTGGGAGGTGGAAGTTGTACTCATTGAAATCCCTACCATGGCTCTCACCTGGTGAGCACTTATGTAAGAAGACCTGGTGCCAAAAGGGATTACAAATCAGAACGGTGTGTTGCAAGATCAGCAGTTTGAATCCACAGCTGCTTCTCAGGGGGGAGATGAGGCTCTCTGCTCCCGTAAAGAGTTACAGTCTCGGAAACCCAAAGAGACCGTTCTACTCTGTCTTGTAGAATTGAGAGGAGTCAGAATTGACTCAGTGGCCGTGGAGAATCTTGCTGTAGAGTCTACTGAGCTCATTCTAATTCACAGGGAGCCCATGTGCCCGAGCAGGAAGTGGAACTGCCCCCTGTGACTTCCAAGGGTTGAATGTTTATGGCTAGGGGCCCTGGTAACTTAGTGGTTCCGTGTTGGGCTTCTAAGGACAAGGGCCACGGTTCAAAACCACCAGCCGGTTCTGTGGGAGAAAGATGAGATTTTCCTACTCCCGTGTAGAGTTACAATTTCAGAAACTCACAGTGGCAATCGCACCCTGCCCTACAGGGTCGCTGTGAGTCGCATTGGCTTGAGGGTGGCGAGTGATCTTTATGGGAGCAGACCCCCAGGTCTTTCTCCGATAGTCCCCGAGGGGGTGTCAATGCCCATCTTTCTGCTAGCAGCTGCGGGAGTGCTCAATCATCGGGACACCAGGGTGCTTTCAACATTGTCTAAAAAAAGGAAACAAAAGCGATCCTGAATGGCAAAGCAAAAGTATCTCTATTTTCAAAGGATGTGATTCAACGTAGCGAAAACCCTAGGGTCCGCAAGAGAACGTCTAGAAGCATGCAACAAAGTTGCAGGTACAGAGCCAACAAACAAACTCATTTGAGTTCTACACACTAACAATGACATCTGAAAGGAAAATCAGGGACGTAATTCCATTTATCATAGTGTCTAAAAAAATCAAATGCCTAGAAATTAAAATAACCAGGAATTGAGAAGAGTTAATACGATGAAAGTTATAACACACCACTGGGCGAGATTAAAGACGATTTAAGGAAATGAAGAGATGTTCCATGTTCATGGATTGGAAGACTTAATATTGTCAAGGTGTCAGTACTACCAAAAGTGATCTATAGATTCTCTGCAATCCTTGCACTCCATCGGCAAGTGCTTCAAGTCCTCCTCATTTTCAGCATGGTTGTATCATCTGCACATTGCAGGTTGTTAATAAGCCTTCCTGCAAACCAATGCCACATTCTTTTCACATAATCCAGCTCCTCTGATGATGTGCTCAGTATACAGATTAAACAAGTAGGTTGAGCGGTCACAACCTTGTCACACACCTTTCCTGATTTTAAACCATGCAGCATTCCCTTGTTCTTTTCACGAAACTGCCCCTTGATCCATGTACAAGCTACACGTGAGCACAATGCCGTTCTGGAAGTCCCTTCTTCTCAAGGTTATCCGTAGTTTGGTATGGTCCACACAGTCAAATGTGTCGGCACAGTCAATAAAACACAAGTAAATATCTTTCTGGTACTCTCTGCTTTGAGCCAAGATCCATTTGACATCAGCAGTGATATCCCTTGTTCCATGTCCTCTTCTGAAATTGGCCTGAACCTCTGGCAGCTCCCTGTCAATCCACGGATCGTTGAAGATGAGACCTGTCCGCATTGCCCGCGTTTGTTCTTATAAGAACTGTATGTGTGGTAGTCACCTAATCTGGTGTCAATTTAAGGATTAAGAGTGTAGGGGTGGAGTCTAGGCTGTCACTCTGGAGATAGCCAATGAGACTTCTGTGTGGGCATGGCCTTCTCCTGGGAATTCTGGGAAATCTGGTACTTCCTCCTTGGAGGCTCTCTCTCTCTCTCTCTCTCTCTCTGCTACTCCCTGGGAGACATTGCAGAAGACAAGCCACATGGACGAAACCAGACCTCAGAAGCGGAGAAGCCACAGAGAGACCCCTGCCAGCGCTGGGATATTTCCAATGACACTGAATCCAAAGACTTTCCACCCACTGGCCTGCGATCTTCTGCATTCAACGTCATTGCATGGGTTTTGTGAATCTGAAAAGGACTTTATAGATTGATATCAGAACTATGGGCTAATATCAGACTTATGGACTTGATCTGGACTGGGCTG